TTTTTTTTTTTATTTCAGCATATTACGGGAGTACAAATGTTTAGGTTACGTATATTGCCTTTGCCCCATCTGAGTCTGAGCTTCAAGCATGTCCATCCCCCAGAGGGTGTGCACCACACCCATCAGGTGTGAATATACCCATTCCTTCCTCCTCCCACACCTCCCGACACCCGATGAATGTTACTACTATAACTTAAGTGCACGTAAGTGTTGATCCTTCTTTTGCCACAAACCAACCAAACAAAAACTCTTCTTCCTCCTGCCAGCAGAGAGCGCTGGTGCCATATGCGGCATAACAGCCAAAACGCTCAACCTTCCCTGGGCTCTTACTGTTACGAGGAAGCACACTGAAATTGTCCCTATCGGGTATCCGTAGTTGACTTGTCGCTGAGCAACGAAGAAGTGGATGGGATTTGCCCTGAGCGCTCGTGCGCGCGACCGTCCAGACGGAAGCGGAAGTGCTGGTAGCTCGCGAGTAGGAAGTGGTGTTTCCTGGAGTAGAGATGGCCGCGCTTGCTCCGCTGCCCCCGCTTCCCCCACAGTTTAAGAGTATACAGCATCATCTGAGGACGGCTCAGGAGCATGACAAGCGGGACCCTGTGGTGGCTTATTACTGTGAGTCTTTCCGAGTCGCCGCGCTCCTCCTTTCCCACTTAACACTCTGGGGCCCAAGCTCTGCTGCTGGGTTCTTGGGGCATGCCCGGCCCCGCTGGCTTTAGACCTGAGCCTTGACTTCTTGCCTGCCCTGGGAACTCCCTGGGTCCTCGCCCTCCTGTGGGAGCCCGAGCTTCTTGCTGGCCCAGAAAGGCAAAAATCCCAAAGCACCATGGTGTCCACCACTTTGCTCGTCTTGCACTTAAATGCTCCAGAACTGATTACATGGGCCCATGAACTCTGGAACACACTTCCCTGACGTTCTCGCTGTGTGTACACACGAGTCTTCTGTCTCCTCTAGGAATCCTGACAATAACCTAGATAGTGGAGTAATCGAGTTGGGTTTGAAAAGAAGATGAGTGCCCCAAAGATAGTAGTAATGTGGATAAAAGGAAGATAAGCTAGTTGAAAACCTAATAATAAGTGAAGGGTAATTATGACAGCATGCAGGCCCATTCAAAAATTCATAAGTGGTTAAATGGAAAGTATCTGCTACTAAACAAGCAGTTGAATTTGATCATTCCCTTTGTGCATCAACACTGGTCTCTCGTACCATTGAGAATTTTTAATCTTGACTTCTTTGAGTAATACCTGTGTTTGAGACCTTTGACAGCAATATTCCCACTTTGATTGTGATACATGTAATCTGCAGTTGATGAGAAACAACGGTTAAGTTTGTTCAAACTTTTTCCCCTATAATGATTAAAGGTTATATAGTTATATAGTAAGGTTATATAGTAAAGGTTATATAGTTCAGTAATTTAATTTAAACTTTATTTTGTATTCTGTTCTCTACTGCAAATAAAACAGGTGACTGAATAATTGTAAATCTTCTGAGAAGGATTTTCAGAGTTGCACAGCTCAGTAAATTGTGTCCTCTGTTGTGGACATTATAAGGTTGGCTAAAATCTGGTCCGCTGTCATCCTACTACACTCCAAATATACCCCATTTCTTAAATATGCAAGGCCATTTCAAACCTCCATGTTCTTCACTCTGTTGGGATATCCACTCTTTGTTGTTTTTTTTTGTTTGTGTTTTGGTTTTTTGGTGTTTTTTTTCTTTGCATTTGGCAAGTTCCTCATGATTCAAGATCTAACTCAAATGTTACCTCTTTTGTAGGCAATAAATAAATTATTCTCTGTGCTTGAGCTCATTTTGTTCAAATCTTACTGCATTATTTCCACTATACTTGTTCTTCAGGTTCCTCAAGCGGGGTCCATTAATCATTCATTCATTGTCTGTGTAATGAGCTTTGACCTTGTACTGGGCGTTAGTAGGCACTGTGGCTGCAGTTCCTGCATTCATGGAGCTTACATACAATGGGGGTAGAGACATTAAACAATAAAATGAATCTATTATACTGAATTTTAGAAGATTATAAAGAAAAATAAGGTGAGGAAAGGGAATAAGGGAGTACCAGGAGTAGTGGTGGCAGAGAGTGCAGAGGGGATTTCTGTTTCAAAGTGGTCAGGGAGCACTTCACTGAGTTGACATTTGAGCAAAGAAAGGAGTGAAAGGCAGGTCTTACATCATCTGGGAAAGAGGATTCTCCACAGAGGGACTAAAGAGTATAAAAGTCCTGAGGCAGAGGCTTGCTAGGAGGAGCAAGGTGGCCATTGTGACTGAAATGGATAGAGCAGAAAGTGATGTGATAAGGACAAAGAGGTAATGTGGTTAACAATGAAATATGAACCTTTTTCCTGCCTAAAATGAATCCCTATTCATGGCCTGTGTATTATGTATCTTTTTGACAGCCCAAGGACCCTTTATTTCCTGTGTCATTATCCTCTCCTTCTTGCTGTTTCTTTTTAAACCTAATCCATTTTACTTTATTTAAAAAAAAAAGAAAAAGAAAGAAACTCTCACCATGACGTTCCCCTAAAGTTGCAGTTCTGTCTTCCCAACTCTTAGGTAAGCTTGAAATAGTGGTCTGTAGTTGGCTTTACATCCTTATCTTGTAGAGGGCCTTTTTGGCCCATTGCAGTCTGGTTTTCATGCCCACTATTTCACTGAATCTGCTCTCAGCATGGTTATGAAGAAATATTTTTATCAATAAATTAAGGTGTCCCTTAAATTTTTTGTTACAAAACATGCATACAAAAGAACATATATATGTGCAAATAGAGTTTAAGGAATAATAAAATGAACACTAGTATACCCACCACGTT